CTTTACTCACAAGGGCAGGTTTTTCGTGGTTGGTGGTAGCGCAACTCTCAAGCACTCGGCTGAAATCTACAACCCCAGCACCAACTCCTGGGTGTGCTTGAAGTCATTTGTGCCCAAGGAGGCAGATGGGTTCACTGCAGCATCACTCAACGGGCGCTTAATGTTACTTACTTGGTCAGATCAGTTAGGTGTGAAGCTGTGGCTTTGGACTGTATTGGTTAATCCAAATTTGATATGCAGGTGCAGATTGATCAGTTTCTTTCCAAACCAAATTGTTGAGAGGCCAAGACTAAAATCACATGGAGCAAAAATGGTTCAAGTTGGGGGAAAGGAGGTGTGGGTTTTGGTGGGAGAGAGTGATAGATTTTGCCTGCATGTTGATGGATCAAATGCCTGGCCAGTTTTCCCAGCACCAATGTTTAGGCCTGGTGATGGGCATGAAGCTGTGCAAAAGGGTCATATCTATGCCTTTTCTTTCACGGATGGAGTTGGATTAAGTTGGAGAAAAATCCCTGTTTACTCAATTTGAGTTCTATCAGTTTTTCTGGTATTCATTTTCCCCCTAAGTAGATTGTAGAACAATGACTGTATTGCATATTTTCTTAGCATGCAAAACAGAGTGATGCTACAAAGACACAAACTTTGCTGTCTGTAAGTTAAGCAAAACATAACTTTCATCTTTGTCATACTTGTCCCGTGTTTCCTTCTTTATTAAACAGTTCAGTGCAATAAAATCCCCCTACCTCTTCTTGCATTTTATGATTCAAATCAGATGGTTCTATTTCTCAATCTTTCTGACTTGCTACTACGAAACCAAGGTCGAAAGAGATTCAGAAAAATCAGTCATTCACAAGCGTTGATGAAAGATTCCTCAAAAAGTTAAGGATTGGTAATCCTTTTTTAGCAACATTGTAATCATATCCAATTATAATAATAATACAAGTTGGGTTACGATCTATATCAATGGAAAATTCTGAATCAAAACATTGAAATGAGCAAGTGATGGACAAGCAATTAAAAGTTCAAGCCTTAACCATCTCCATAAGTTAAGATCTCATATGGAGTAACTAATGGACTAAAAGAACATGAATTTTTTTTTTCTTCTTTGGTTTGGGGATTGAGACTTACAATTATAGCTACATAACAAAGTCCTAACCATCACTCAACCTAACTCAAACGAAACCAGAACAAAAGGAGAGCTCTCTAGTGAGAGCTCTCTTCCTCCTCCTCTATTTTGAGAGTCTTTGGCTTCTTCCCACCCGTTATGGGTGTTTTTCCCCTGAGCTCTGTCTCAGATCTGGGGCTCCTTGCCTCCACTTCGGTTTCCTTTAGTTTTTTTCTGTTTTTCCCTAAGTTAAGCCCCCTCTATGAGACCCTATCTCCTCCTTCTCTCCCTCTCTTTTCTTCCCCAACCACCTTCACTGTCCACCCTCCATTTCTTCCATCTCCACTATCCTCGCCTCTCCTTTGTTGTGATGACGCTCACCCTTGGCCAGCGACTTCGTCTCGTCGCCAGTTTTCAACCACCACCTTTTGCTCTTCGGTTTCGCGTCCGCCGCTCCCGTGGTGGTTCGTGGCTGCACTTGCCTCTTGGATTATGGGAGCGCTTCCGCGCGGGTGGCTTGCTCACCCCATCTTCCGTCGGCCTCTTTGGTACCCCTTGGTATCGTTTACTTCTCCTTGGTGGTGGTGGATCTGCTGGTGGTGGTGTTGGCTTGCTTTGGGTGGCGGCTGCTCTTGTGTTCTAAATCTAGGGTTTTTTGTTTAAAGTTTTCTGGGCTTTGTTGCTTTTTTGGTTTTGTATCTTTGGGCCTGCTGTATTTGTTGGTTTTGGGCTGCATTTGGATTGAGTTTTTCTCATTTTGTAATGTTTCCCATTATTAATGAATAGAGTTTCCCTTGACCAAAAAAAAAAAAAAAAAACAAAGTCCTAACCAAAGCTTGTACCTTTGCCCAAAAAATTAAAGAAAAATTGATGGCAAGATTAAAAAAATTGGCTTGCTATCAAAGCAAATGCCATTTCGAGTATTGACACATTCACATGCACTTGATCCACAGGCACCGCCCATTGAGGTTGGATGGAGATTCCGATGGCATTTTGGTAAAACTGCCCATTACTGAAAAAGATCATAAATACAAAAACCAATCTCTCCCCAAATGTCACCATAGTGTTACAGTCACACACATACAAACAGAGAGAGAGAGTGAGATTGAAAGAGAGTGTGTAGGTGGTGAAAGTAGAAGAAGAAGAAGATGCCAAGAAGCAGTTTCTCAGGGATGATATCAGGGCCAAAGGTTGACGTGATAATCGACTTGGGGAACCCCTTGCTCAACCATACCGTCGATGGCTTCTTGAAGATCGGAACCGTACGTGTTTTTTTTATGTAATTTTTTATTTATCCTTAACATTTTTGTTTCTTTTCTTAATTTATTTATGTATTTTGCTTCTGGGTTTTGATCTTTGGGATCAATGCTTCAGTTCAGAACTTGAAAGGCGTCGTTTTTGTTTTTCTGGTTTTGTTCAGGTCGCTGCTACAAGAGCTGCTGCAGAGGATGCTTACTCGGTGGTCAAGAAAGGTATTTTTTTATTGTCATTATTGCCACTCCAACTGTTTGGTTCCCGAGAAACACCGAGGAAAATGAGAGAGAGGAAAAGCTTTAATCTTGAGTCTCTTATGAAAAATCACTCTTATTATGTGTCGGTTTCTTGTCTCATTTGGTTAAAGTGTTCATCATTTCCTGTTTTAGTCTGATGGTGTTGATGGTGTAATCGTTGTTGAATAAGATTTTTGTTTTTTGTTTTTGTGACATTTACTGATAATTTCAAGCGATGTTTACAGGGAGCATTTCCACTCACGATGCTGAGCACACTGTGAGTAAATACTAACCAGGACCCTCCCTTATTTAATCCACTGGTTCACAATATGATCTAAGAGTTGTAACTAGTAGCTACTTTAAATTAATTTCAGCATCTTCAGTTTTTTTCTCAATTGGTTTTATTTAGTTGATCTATTGCTTCTCGGAGGTCTTACTCTTACTGTGCTAATTTGTTAAAAGAGGTGTGTTGTTTATCAGTACACGTCAGAAAAAATCCGGATATTATACAATTTCCTAATCCTGCTAATTGGAAATGCTGTTTGTGCAGTTGAAGAAGATGTGTAAAGAAGGTGCATATTGGGGTAAGTAGAGTCATATGTCACTGAAAGTTAGATGTATCATGTATGTATGCATGAGATTATGTAAATCTTCTGGGAAAATGTTTCCACTTCCTTACTTTTGAACTTGGTGAACCGCATCAACAATTTCTTCTATTACACTGACAGGAACTGTAGCCGGAGTGTATGTGGGAGCAGAGTATGGTTTAGAAAGGGTCCGTGGCACCAGAGACTGGGTATGTCTGTTCTAGTTCTAGATAGCTAGTTCTACTATACATGAGCTTTTAGGAAAGAGCTAAAGAATGTGGTTCTTGGTTGAAAAGTTAGAACTCTTATGTTCCTCAGATACCTTACTTGGCCATAATTTTCCTACTCATTCATTTTGAGTTTGCGCATGTAGCTTCTGACATATATTTTGTTTCAGATATCACCACTTACTAATTTATCAAACTCTAACTTCTATGTTCCTCAGATCCTCCCGTTGCCTTGGTTTTCGTAATGGTTCATTTTAAGTATGCACAGGTAGCTTATGAAATTATATTTAGGAGATTGCATGGTATTTTTCTTGTGAAAGAAGCTCACGTTAAATCTTTGCAGTCTTTTTTTCTCCTTTTGATTTTAATCCCATATGCATACCAATTTCAACCACTAATTCATCCCAGGACTAAATTCTAATCATTGAGACATGACCTAAGAACTATCAAAGAGTTCTTGTTTCAGACTTGACTGTCAGTTTTTCACAAAGCTTCAATCATGCCATTTCAAGTTCATGTTTATTTAATAAAGAAAATTTTCGGACTTCAACTAATACTGCTGCCTCTGCTCTTTCTTTTTCTTTTGATTTCTTGCAGAAGAATGCCATGATCGGGGGTGCTGTGACAGGTGCTCTAGTATCTGCAGCCACCAATAAGGGCAAGGATAAAGTTATAGTGGATGCAATTACAGGAGGTGCCATTGCAACCGCTGTGGAATTCATCAACTATCTCACCTGAACATGGAAGTATTAAATATTCTACCCGATCTCTCTGCAGATCCAGAAGAACTATGTAGTAGGTTTCTTGTGTCTTTTTTCTCATGAAGTTGTTGCATTGTAAAACGAATGTTCAAGTGTTCTTCAACTAAACTACTGAAGGTTGATACAATGGATTATGAATCCCATCTTCAAATATTATCATTCTCCAGCACTATGTTAGATGCTAACTGATATTGGTGCGGGGAAAATTATACGTTTATTGTTGTTGGGGGTCAAGTCATCCTATTTTCACTGGATAAAGTGAATTTATAATCTGGATGCGAATCCTTCAAGAACTGTGTATGCAACAGCCTACACTGGTTGATATGCATATTAATTGATTATTGGCGGTATGAACTTCTATTTACAATTAGATGTTGTACAAAAGTGGCCAAAAGATTCGCTCAGCAGTCAACATTTATATAATGATGAATACTGAGAGATCAAACCTCCTCGAAGATGCATAGCTGATGAAAAAACATTGAATTTTGGGGCAATCATTTTATTCTTCAGTTGATATGTCGTCAACCATAAGCATCTAGAGAGTAGATGAGTGCCTAAAAGCAATTCTCAAAGTAAACTGCAATCTGTACCCCGATCCCTATCAGTGGTATCATTTGTCTCCCTCTCATTATGTGACTAAATATTGTTCTCAGCATGTGACTAAATGTTGTGTGAGAAATAGACACATGCTCACATGATGAAAAAGATAGACACATGCTAGTATACTGGCTGCACCTTCGTTGAATTCACTGAAGGAAGGACCGAGCATCGGCAGCACTTACAATGAATTGAGTTGTAAAGGCTAATCACAAACGGGTCCATTACGCATAAGAAAAGCAACTATATTACATTACATTCAACGAGCAACTTATGCATTATCTTCCATTTACATCATTGATAAACATTTTGTGTAAGGAATCAACGGTTCAATATTAATTTATTAAATGTATCAGACCACCATACAAGTTACAACTATATTACAACTCAGAATCAGGTTCGAAACTGCTCCGCAAGATTCATCAGACTATAGGTTTCGGCGTCTGGCCTTGCGCCTCCTAGAATCATCCTCTTCAAAAGATTCGAATCATAAATTTTGGCCTTCACATAAGCCTTAATTAAAGTGTTGTATACAAAAGTATGTCTTGCATACTTGGCTTTCGTAAGTTCTTCAAACAACTTCTCAACGTTCCCTACATCACCATTCTCAGCGAAAGCCTCAATTATTGAAAGAGTGGTCTCCAACCATGGGGTAGAATTCCTGACACCATTGCTCATTGTCGAACTCATCCCCAACTCTAGAGTCTTAATGGCTTCCTCTACCAATCCTGCTTTTAAGCAACCCAAAGCAAGATGGCGAAAGGTTATGGCATTTGGTTTGCACCCATCCGCCATTATTTCCCTGAAAAGCTTAGATGCTTTATCGATAAGCCCATGCTTGCAATACACAGATATCATAGAATTGAACTGCTCAGTAGTTTTCAACCCTTTTGCTGCCTTCATCTCTAACCAAAGTTCTTCAGCTCGGCTCAGTTGGCTGATTCTACCAAATGCTTCAATTGCCATCACATAACTTTTAGACCGAACATGGGGGAGTTCCTTCACTAAACCCCAAGTTCTCTCTAACTCCTTCTCCTTCCCTAAGTAACCATACAACATAATTAGAACATCAAGTGTTGACCAGTTACTACCTGTAACTGACTTCTCTAAGGCTTCAACATATGCTTCAGCTGCGGTATACAACCTTGCCACTGCATGGGCAGTAGCTACGATGCAGTGAGATATTTCATTCGGCTCAACTTTTGCTCGCTTCATATTGGAGTATACCTTCATCAGTCCTTCGATATTGTGTTCGTTGGCTTCTATTTTCATGAGAATGTTGAATGTGGAGGCATGCAGAACCACTTTATCAGCCCTCATTTGTGCAAGGATTTTCACTATCAACTTTTTACGCCTTGAAGAGGAATGGAGAATAATGAGTCGATTAAATACCAAGTGTGAAATGGGATGACCCAATTCCCTCATTTTCTTCATACACTCAAGTGGAAGCCTTATTGCACCCTTATCCAAGCACGCAATCACAAGATTGTTGTAAAGCAGCTCATTTTGAAACTCAAGAGGAACGCGTGTAAAGAGTTCTTTACCTTGAGATATCCCATGAAACTTGGTTGTAAATTCCAACAGATAAGAGTAGTCTAGTTCCTTTGGCCTGTAGGGCCTTTCTCTGATCACCCATTCCATTACCTGTCAAAAGCAATAGCTTTAGCTTTAAAATCCATCAACCCTCCACCAAATTGGTCCAAATTTCAAAAGGGTAGTAAGATTGGTGGTCCTGCTGCAGTATGGCTAGTGGGAATTGGGCTGCTAGTCATCAGAATGTAATTTTGCAGGATCAATATTGCACTAATTTATAGTTTATCACACATGGAATGGAATCTTAAAAGGCAATACCTCCTTATTTATCCCAGAAAAGAAAAACAGCAAGACCTCCCTTTACCTGAGGCTAATTTCTTTGGCTATCTACAAGAGCTTATATAATATTCCCATTGTAATTTGAGAACCCAGAAACAACATAAAACGCAATGCTCAAAGTTTTACCCAAAAAAATTCACATTTTTCTTTTCCTCAATTTTCTCAGCAACTAAAAGGCAGGCAACTAAACAAAGACAACCAGTTAAAACTGCGTATTATCAAAATGAAAGCAGAGAGAGAGAGAGAGAGAGAGAGACCTCAAGAGCGCGTTTATTCAACTTGAGCTTCCGAAGACGGTTAATGGCGTGAAAGATGTCACCTCTATGAATGGGAAAGCCATCACCCATCCAGCTCTGGAAAGCAGACCCAACTGGTTCTCCATTAGGCAGCTTCTCAATCCTATAAGATAAGCAGGACCTGGGTTCTTCTCGTTTTGACTCGGAGACTTTCTCGGTAAAATCATTTGGTGTTTGGGTGCAAAGAAAAAATTTGAAGCTAGACGAGATTTTATTGGCAGGAAAGTATGGGACATAAACTGTTCGAGGTTTCGCCTGAACGAACCTGCGCTGTATCACAAGGTACAGCGTTTGCATGCTTTACTCGGAAGCAGCAAACACTGAAAGCAATTTGCATCAGGTGGCTGCTAAGTGCTAAAATTCACCCATTTACTTAAGCCCAAAATCTGAAATTCAAGCCAAGGCCCTACCTAGAAGCCCAAATTGACTAACCCAAGTTTATAAATCTCTAATTTTCTAAATGCACCCTAAAATCTTATAAGGAACAACATTGATAAGATTTTAGATTTTTCGTTTTGGGTGCTGGCTATACTACAGAAAAACTTGTGTGAAACAAGAATAATATGATTTTGCAATTATAGACTGCTACATGAAAAAGTTATCGTGACATGTTATGATTGTTCATTTCACACAACTGTTTCTTGGGTATATACTAATCAAATTATTAAATTGGTTGCTTTTTCTCTATTCTCAAAAATTTATAAGCAAATCAAAGAGAAGTATGAGCTTATTATAATGGACAAATATTTTATACACCAGTAATTAACCAGTGGTTACTTCAAATACAGAAGTAAATGGCTCTTTAACTAATCAATTATATTTGAAGACTTTGAATCCAATTCCAGTCACATCAGAAGAAATTTGTTTTAATAAGATATGGATCATGACCAGTACTTATGCTGGTGTCACGCAGACAGGTGTATAGTTTGTGTCTTCTAAATTAATGGCTCAAACCAAAAGTCAATAAGAGCTCTCAGTTCATCTTCAGCACAATTTGATCTCTCATTTCCAATGCCAAGCATGCATAAGATACATATGCCTCAAAATCAAATCCAGAAGAAAGCATACCAAGAAACACATATATAATTAAGAAATATGTAACATACAGATGTAGCCACAACCCACAAAGCAAATCACAAACCCTAGCTAGCTAGCTAGGAGATCATGGATTTGCAGATCAAAAGGCAATCTTATTTTACAATAAGCACTAAAACCCAACTTGGAAATTCAACTTTAACACTCCTTCTCTTATTTATAGAGATCATGAGCTTTCTTGGCCTTGTCATAGCTTTGATCATTTGTGGCAGCCACATGAGCTGCAGCTGCAGTTTGATCCACACTTGCAGTCATTTTCTGCTCCATAGCTCATCTCAGAACCCTCATAATACCTGCAATCATATCATGAAATTAAAACAGAGTTCATGTGCATGGAAAATTTGATGAGAGTTTTTTTTTTTTTTTAAAGAACGTACATCTTCACAGGTGCAACCCCAGCAATGATGGTCTCAGTAGAAGTGGTCTCTGAGTAACTCAAGTCAGGGTAGGCACAACTACACATATACACATATGAGAAAAGAAAATTAGGCAAAGCAAAAAAACAAATTAAATAGTTCCTAAATGTTCTAGAGAATGATAACATGTATGGTTAGAGGAATAGAAGAGTTACTTGCAGCCACTGCCGCAGGAGCAGTTTGAGCCACACTTGCAACTACCGTTGTCGCAAGACATTTTTGTTAAAAGATTTGGTGAGTGAAAAGGAGAAGGTTGTTCTAATGCTCGGTAATTGAATTCACTCAAAGCCTGGGATGAGTTTTTTTGTGAGGGCCTTTGCAGCTCTTTATAGGGAGTTGAAGGTTGAACTGGGTGAGATCCACCGTACACGTGGAACAATCCTGGACAGCTATATATCTAGTAGAATTAATAAAGTTTTCTATCCAACAGGGAAAGAAAAGAACCCACCTCTCCAATTGAATTGATTGATATCCATCCACCTTGTTTTTTGTGCTAAAATTATATATTTTCATTTCGTGACGAAAGAATATAGGGGGAGGGGTAACGCTTCCTGTGATCGCTTTGCCAAGGTAAGATGAGAAAAATTTGGCTCTTTAAAAGGAGTTATCTTTTAAAATTAATGTGGTTTGGACACTGTTAATTTTTTTCACTTTTTTTTTTTGGGGAAAGTTTGTCAATTTTGCTAGAATTTGACAATTTTCAAACCCACATAATTTTAGGAGCTTTATTATATAAGAAAAAATAGGAGGGCACGAAGATAAAATGATCAAGTACCTCTAAATAAGAACAAGCCGTTCTAGTTATTATGACTATTATTGTCAGACAGTGACATTAACCGTTGGTGCATCTTTTTTGTTAAAATGATTGGTCTTTAATGAAATTTTTTATTTACTTGGGTGCACTTAACATAAAAATTAAAAAATTTACTTTAAAAAAAACATAAAATAAAATGAAGCAACGAAAGAAGGACATTCAGCCCAACAGTTAACAATTCAAGTTTCCAGGACTTTAAAATAATTTTCTCCGAAACCTTGTGTGCACTTGTGTTCTTTTTCTAAATAATACAGTTTCTTTCATAGCTTTATTTAATTTTGTTTGTAATATAATTCTTAAATACTAAACTTTCAACTCTGGAGGTATCCTTTTCAAAACTTAAATACAGTACTGCCAATGTTGGGATCTTATTTCGTGTCATTCACGTCCACCACTCAAATTTGTGATCTTATTTGTGGAGGAGTTGTTCCTTTTTAATAGTCAAACGGGCTTTTCATTTTTCCTTTCCCACTTTATGCTTAAAATTGATGACAGTCCAGTCTTTCCATCAAAAAGTTTCTGGGTAGAAAAAAAAAATTTAAGAAAAAAGGCACCAAATGGTTGCTTTTTATTATATATGTAAGACTTACTTAGATTCAACAACTAACCAGTGTTATGACAGAGTGGTCATTTTCTGTGGTTAAATTTCTAAGAGAAATTTTCTAGGTTTTGCTTGATCATATGACAAATATCTTTTGGGTTTTTCTATTGCGTGCGTATGGGTGGTTGAAGACTTGAAATCCGATTCCAGTCACATCCGGAAAAAAAGTATTATGGATCATCATGACCAGTACTTGTGCTGGTGTCATGCATCCTTCCATATAGTCTGTGAAAATCCCAAACGGACATGCATCAAAGTCAAATCCAGAAGAAACGAGAACAACAAACACATATACTTAAGAAAGATCTAACATACGAAGGTACAAGCCACAAAGCAAATCACAAACCCTAGCTAGCTAGCTAGGAGAGATCATGGATTTGCAGATCAAATGGCAATCTTATTATTTTACAGTAAGCACTAAAACCCAACTTTCATATTCAACTTTTACAGTCTTTTCTTATTTATAGAAACCACCATCGCAGCTTTTTCTTGACCTCGTCTAGCTTTGGTCATTTGTTGCAGCTGCATGAGCTGCAGCTGCAGCTTGAGCCACACTTGCAGTCATTCTCTGCTCCATAGCTCATCTCAGAACCCTCATAGTACCTGCAATTATAATACAAATCAATTTAATTTAATTTAATTTAATTTAATTAATTTTAACCTATTTTTAGCATATATGTCTTGAAATTAAGGACTTGTTTGGGAGTGATTATTAAGAGGCCAACAATCACTTTTATGAAGAATCACTTCTCCAAATAATCACTTTAAGTGATTTTATGGGGAAGTATATGCAAGGTGCTTCTCTCGAGAATCACTCTCAAACGACCCAAAACAGAGTTAATTAGCGCTCGTTTGGAACTGCTTCTCTAGGAAGCACTTCTACTTATAAGCGCTTCTACCAAAAGTGCTTTTATTATAAAGACGTTGAAATTTTCATAAGAAACCGAAGTGCTTCTTGGAAAAGCACTTGGGACTACTTCTTGAAGAAGCACATGACAAGTGCTTCTCCAAAAAGCGCTTCTATGGCTCGAAAGCGCTTCTAAATATTTCTGCTAAACGTTATCAGAAACGCTTTTGATTGTCAGAAAGCGCTTTTAACTGTTCCAGAAGCACTCCCAAATAGGCCCTTAATGTGCATGGAAAATTTGATGAGAGTTTATTCCTAGAATTACTTACATATTCACAGGTGCAACCCCAGCTATGATGGTCTGAGTAGAAGTGGTCTCTGAGTATTCAAGGTCAGGGTATTTTTTTCCACATCTACACATATATCATAAGACAAAAGAATATTAGGCAAAAACATTTTAATTAATTCCTAATTAAGAATATTAGGGGAATAGAACAGTTACTTGCAGTCATTGCCGCAGGAGCAGTTTGAGCCACAGCTGCAAGACATTTTTGTTCAAAAGTTGGTGAAGGAGAAGGAGATGATTCTTGTACCGCTAGGGAATTGGATTCACTCAAAAGTCTAGGATGAGTTTTCTTGTGAGGACCTTAAGCTGTCATTTATAGAGCAGTTGATGGTTGAAGTGGTAGACATCCACCGTACACGTGGAGCAATCCTGGACGTCTAGATAGCTAGGTAGAATGAATCAAATTTTAAACAGATTACTTGCACCGGCCAACAAGGCAACAAGGCAAATACTCCAACGGAGATCCATCCACCTTGTCTTTTCTGTCTTGATTTTGGGCTATAGAGCCCATGGAACTTGTTTTTTTTTAAACTAAATTAATACCCTAGCCTAGGCATACCTTATCAACCAACCCCACTAGACTGACTTTTCCTCTCTCTCTCTCTCTCTCTCTCTCTCTCTCTCTCATCATTAAAATAAAAATGAAGAGGCCTCGTCATCTCCGCTCTGTGCTGGAATTATCAACACGATGGAAGTCGTCCAAGTCAAGCCTACCTTTTAGACTATGTAGCAAATTGGCAATCACTATGAACTGAAATAGCTAATCTAATCCAGTTTACCACCTGCAGTTCTTTACTCTTCTTAGAATGTATTTACGTGAGAACATCATATTTCCTGAAACCTTCTTGACAAGGGTGATTTTTATGCGAATCAGTTGTATTGTATATGTAAAAGTCAGAAACTGGAATTTTTGGATTCCCTCTCTCTCTCTCTCTCTCTCTCTCTCATGATGGCAAAATAGGAATTGAAATTGACTTTGGTGTTCTTGCTTGTATGAATTATTAATTAGGGATTTTGATAAATTGATTAGTCTTTGACATGTTAATTGAAGATTTGATAAAGGCATAGTTTCTTATTTACAATTGATGACATTTTCTGGCTTTTAATTAGATATTTAACTATTTAAGTATGTTTTTATCTACATGTACTAACATTTTGAAGGGTAAGGCTCATATGTCCCCAGTGTATTTTTTTGTCATTAATAAAATTCACCCGTATTGTCAAGTTTTCAATAGGTTCAAACTTAAGACCTTTGATATGCAAGTCAATACCTTTTTCTACTGGACTAGACCTAATGCTCTAAAATTTAAATAGAGTATCAATGTTGAAAACGGAAGTTTGGGATCTAATTTCTTATCATTCATGAGCACCACCCAAATGAATTCCCTCAACTATTGGACTAGACCTAATACTCTAAAACTTAAATTGAGAATCAATGTTGAAAATGGAAGTTTGGGATCTAATTCTTATCATTCATGTGCACCACCCAAATGAATTCCCTCAACTACTTATTTATTTGTGGAAGAGTTCTTCCTTTTTCATAGTGAAATGGGGTTTTCAATTTCTTTTCCACTTGCTCTTTCCATCAAAAAGGTTCCTTTGCATAAAATTTTCATGAAAAAGGCACATGCGCATCCACCAAGTGGCTGCTTTTTCATATTCATGTAGAAACCAATGTTATGAACCAGAGAGCTATGATTATGGTTTTGAAAAAACTTGATTAGATGAAGCTAGTCATGGTTAATTGCTAGATTCAATGGCTTGTCTTTTTATTATTATATACATGAAGCTCTCTGCCTCAAGGCAACTAACCTAGGCCTTGTAGCAGTAAACAAGATAAAGATTCACTAAAATATGGGCAAAGCCTCAGACTAATAAATCCATAGAAGTATCAGTCCTGGAATGGACAGATCGACCAAACATACATGAATTGACAAAATGGTCATTTTCTGTGGAAAATTTCTGAGATTATTATGCTATGGTATCAAGTTATCAATCAACTTCGGGCTTATCAAACACCCCATATCACTCTCCTATTGAAAATAATATAAAAATAATAATAATTGCACTTGTTTTGGATAAATTAAACAATTGTCAGTTTTATTTAAATACATTTTAATTGACCTAAGTTTTGTTTTGGCCGATAATTAATTGTCTTGGTAAATGACATCTTAAGAAGGCATGAAGTCTGCTGCTTGCTTGGAAGACTTATTAAATGCACACATCAAAGAGATGAAAGAAAATTTTGAAATGTTCTTGTCCGGGGTCCCAGAACAATTAGTATAATTTTTTTTCTTATAGACATAAACTTTGGTGGCCCCTTTGGAATCCAACCCACTACGATCTCTTAACGTCTAGGAAGGTTGATGCTAAAAGACAGTCTAAAAAGGGCTTTTGGTATGCGATGCAGTTTTTCAAAAACAACACCAATCGAATTGATTACATGTTTAAGGAATGATATGATAGCTCTTCTATGTGCACATCGCTAGTGATTTCTGACCTTAAATGCAAGTGGTTTCTATAATGGAGTCTGTGTATCCTTTTACGTAGTATTTTCCGACATTTTTAAGTTAACCTTGACTCGTCAAATTATTGACACAAATTTGTTAATTTCTTTTTATACGAAAGAGGCCTAAAGATTCATGAGAAAGAAAGGGTGGAAGACAAGACTTTACTTTAGATATGAAGATAAGTACTCTCTCTACACTTGCAAGTTGTGCTATGCCAAATCTCTGTCCATCCTCACTTTTCGTGTTTGATTTATGTTGTTGTAGTTTAGTTCTCCTCACATGTGTTTTGGAATAGAGACACAGAAAAGAGATGAAAGGAGCCTCTCTCATTATTGATCAACCATTTCATATGGTGGGCCTTCAAGGCCTTCTATCCCCTGATTGTGGAGCATTCTTTAATCGTGACTCCAAAAGTTAGATGATATTCTCTTCAAATCTCTTCACCACTTGTGGCCTACTTTTCTTTTTTCTTTTCCTCCCAGGTTCTTCTCCATTTCCCTTCCATTCTTTTTTTATAAGAAAAAAATTTTAATTTAAAAACAAAAAGAAATAAATTCCTCCGAAGTTATTCCAACTTGCTGATATCTTGTGGGGTATTAAAACATTAAACTTATTGGCAAAGTTATTATACAAATTTATAAATAAACCCAATCCTAGACATGTATTTATAAAAAAACCCAAACACTATTTAAACATAGAAACACACCCAAAATCAACCCCAAAGTCAACAATTGTATATTTTTTGGGTGTGTTTATAAAGTGTTTTGGGTGTTGGGTTTTTTTATAATTTCAGCTCCTATTTTGGGTGTTTTAGTGAAACTCCCAAGTTATTATCGTCTGAAATCCAAACGTAATTGTTTTATGTGGTTTATCATCTTCTTCGCATTATTATACCTGACATTGACATGTATAAAATAGATTACATCAATGATCCATTGTCTATATAGTATATACTGTATTTCAATACTGTGTGTGCTTAGTGTCAAAACTTAGAATTAGAAGTTTATATTGAGAAAATAATTAAATAGTGACATCAGAAAACATAACAAAGGATCTGAATCGATCAGACACATAACCAAGGATCTTGCAAATCAAATCACATTAGTGAGCTTGATCTTCATTTCAATCTGGTGATTCAAACATATTTGCTAACATGATGATTCTGTCTGACCACTAAAAAGAAAAATCATTTGTTCATATTTTGAAATTTCATTTTTGGGTTGCAATACATACATGGGTATACTGACACTGAAAAGAAATGATTGCCTTACAGAAGTATAGTTCTAAACTGAGAGTGTGATGTTCATGTGCAAAACTTAGTATGGATACTGCAAAACAATGTAAATCTACAACTCACGTTGGCTTTGAAATACCTACAATCTGAATTGAAACTCTACAACTCAAACAATTGATCATTGTGCTATGCCGGCAAAACGATATTCTTTTCTGCAGAGATATCACTAAACTTTAGTCAACCATAATTTTATCTAAATGGAGTCTGTCTGAAATTTCACCATTCACAAGCATCCTAAGACCAGTTTTTAGCTCTGGCACTCCTTCCTCCAAAACAGCACATACAGGGAATATAGAAACATCTTGCACCCTTCTTTTCAATTCTTCATACACTTCTTCAGCACCGTCTTCATCTATTTTATTTGCTACTATCAAGGATGGCCGATTTGATAAACCCTCTAGATGGTACTCAAGCTCTAAAACTAAATCCCTAAGCTGTTCCCAAGGCGGTGTTCCCTTTCTACCATCCAATGCAGAAGCCAAGTCTACCACATAAA